ATGACCCGCTCGGACTACCAATATGAAGCGCGGACACCATATGGGAAGGGAGTCCCACCTGAAACTTCCTCGCAATTCACTCACAGAAGAAGTTCCCACCTGGGATTTCCCCCATACTCCGTCCAGAGGAGCCAAACAGTGATGACAATTACAAATTTGCGATGACCCGCTCGGATTACCAACATGAAATGCAGACCCATAATGAAGAGGGGTTCCCGCCTGAGACTTCCTCGCAATTCACAAACCGACGAATCTCCCGCCTGAGACTTCCTCCGTACTCAATGCAGAAGAACCGACAAGTGACGCCGGTTACAAATTTCCGACGACCCGTTCGGATTACCAACATGAATCGCGGACACCATATGGGAAGGGGTTTCCACCTGAAACTTCCTCGCAATTCACTCACAGACGAGGCTCTCACCTGAGACTTCCTCCATACTCAATCCAGAGGAGCCAAGCAGCGATAACACTTACAAACTTCCGATGACCCGCTCGGATTACCAACATCAAGTGCAGACCCATGAGGAGAAGGAACTCCCGCCTGAGACATCCCCACAATTCACTAACCGAAGAATCTCCCGCCTGAGAATTCCGCCATATTCAATCCAGGGGAGCCGGACACTGATGACAACTACAAGCTTCCTATGAGCCGCTGAGATTACCAACATGAAGTACAGACCCATAAAAAGAGGGGGTTCTCACCTGAGTCTTCTTCGCGATTTACTCACCGACACATCTCCCGCCCGAGACTTCCTCCGCACTCAATCCAAAGGAACCGAAAAATGACGACGGTTACAAGTTTCCGACGACCCGCTCGGATTACCAACATGAAGCGCGGACCCCATAGGCAGGGAGATCCCGCTGGAGCCTTCCTCACGATTAACTTGCAGACGGGGTTCCCTTTCGGTCGATGATCACGATGGGATGGTGATGGTGATGAATGCGTGATGATAGGGATGGTGATGGTGAGTGATGGTGAGTGGTAATTGGTCGATCATGGTGGTGAATAGGAATGACGACGATGATTACGATGGCGATGATAATGGTGTGTGTGATGGTGATGATGGTGGTCATGGCGATGAGTGCGCCAGCGTAAGTGTGCGACGGTGACGATGGTGATCGTAACGCTGATGAGGACGTGTGCGAATATGATGACGACCACGATGTTGATGAGTGTGTGAGAATGTGCGCGTGCTGCTGATGATGATGAATGAGTGCGCGCGCTGCTGGCGATGATGATGGTAGCGACGATGATGATGATGATGATGATGATGATGACGAATGCGATGATGAGGCGGAACAATGGTAGAAGGAGGGCACGAGATCCTGCGCGGTGGCGCGCAGAGCAAATTACTCCGACAGTCGGACACCGCATGAAAATCTGTTTACATTGCCCCGAGCCCTGTCCTCCTCGCCCTGGCGGACACCCTCCTCTCGCCCCCTGGTCTGCCCTCTCATCCTCCTCCTTCGATTTTCCCCCCTCCTCCTCCGTTCTCCTCCTCCTCTTCCTTCTCCACCTCCTCCTGATCATCGCCCGCCCGTGGCCCTTCCCCCCTCCACCCCCCCTCCCCGCCTCTTCTCCACGCGCGCCCCTCCCTTCCCCCCGGCCAGGGCAAGCAAATTGATTTTCCTCGGCGCCGTCGCCGCCTCGGACAGCGCGCGCGCGCGTTCGCCGACGACTGGAACACGAAGCCCCTTGGGCAACCCCGCGGGCCATGCCTGCGGGGCAATCCCGCGGGCCGCCGGGGCGCGCGAGCAGGCCGTCGGGGCGACCCCGCAGGCCAGGCCGCCGGGACAACCCCGCGGGCCTCGAGGCAGGCGCGCCTACGCTCAGGCGGGGGACAGCGCGAAGCCCAGCCGCGCTGCGAGCTACTCCGCTTCACTCCTGGAGGTCTTCGCTGTCTCATCGAATTTTCCCGAGCGCCTTCCGCAAGGGCGCCGGCGGCCCGCGCCCGCGAATCTCGCGCGAGGGCGGCCGCGGGATCTGCACGTTCCGCACGCGCGTGGCGCGGGAGAACATGGCGTAGAGATGCAGGTGCCGCTGCTCGCCCGAAATGCCCGCTGCCACCGTCCTCGCCCCTCGCGCAGTCGGCGGCGACGCCCTCGCGCAGCGTCTGGCCCTGCGACAGAGCGAAAGCGAAGCAGGGCGCACGCGCCAGAGTGAACCCCGAGCGGCGCACGACGCGCGGCCCCCAGCTCTGCCACGAGAACTCCTTCCTGCTCGCGGGGCCTGAACATGAGCAAGCACCTCGCCCGCGCTTCGGCCTCGCCGTCGTCTGCGCTTTCGGCGCCCTGTCGAAGCACCTCGACGACGCCGCGGTAGATCGGGGGCTCCTTGAAGTCGTGCACCTGCAGCCAGATCCCCTGCGGTAGGTAGCGGGGTTGATCGAGCTGGTCCAGCGCGCGCCCCTCGCACTCCCGCTCGTCGTCCGGGTGAAACTCGCAGGATGCGATCGTGGCCCGCTGCTTTTGCACGAACCCCAACTTCTTCTTCAGCTCCTACTGCACGGCCGCGAACTGGACCCCCATGCCGACGCACGCCAGCGCGACGCCGTGGATGTCCCCGTCTCGCGAACGTTCGAGGCGTTCAGGAGGCGTCGGCCTGCGTCTGGATCGCCTTGAATCTCGCCTTGAGGAGCGCGCCCAGACGCCGCACGTCGTAGCCGAACCGAAAGTTCTCGCGCTAGGACGCCGCGGTTGCCCAGGGCCCACGTCTTCTCCCAGGCAGACCGGACCTCTGGAGGGAAGGGCGCGCCCTCGCGCGCGCAGCCCAGAAACGCGATGCGAGGGTCCCCAGGCTCGACGCGCTTCGCGCCCTCGAGCTCGAAGACGCAGGGGATCTGAAAGAAGAACCTGACGGCGCGCTGAACATCCTCCGTCGGCGGCTCGGGGGCTTCAGCTGCAGGAAGTCGCCGAGGTGCAACACGATGGGGACGCGCCCGAAATGGCGGCCCGGCCTCCTGCAGGTGGACTCGCACACATCGCGCGCGTCACTGCGTCCGTGGCAGGCACGAAGGTCCAGCGAGTTGCACGGAACTGCCGCCACCGTGCTCACCTCCTCGATGTCCAAGAACGCGGACGTGCTCCCACAACGACTTCAACCTTTTCTGCATGCCCCCTGGCCTCATCTTCGCGTTGATGTACTTCTGGACTCGCAGGGCACAGGCATTGCGCAGCGCTCTGACCTTCACAATATCCGTGGAGATGTTATTTGCATGCGCGTTCGAGATAGCCACGACCATCGCGTCGCTCTTGTCCGGCGCCAACGAAGGCAACAAATCTTCCACCATTGCGAAGACGATCTTCTGCACTGCGCGAGTCTTCCCCGAGCCGCCCTGGTCAAGCAGGAGCAAGTGCGTCACTTGTCTTTCGCTCCAGGGCGTCTCGCGCACGTCGCCCTCCCAGGCTTCGTCGCAGGCCTTAACGAACTGGGCGACGAAGAGCGCCTGGCCCCGCGCGAGTCTCTGGTCTCCCAGAAAACCATCGACCAGTTCGGCGATGCACGCGCTGGGAGCGGAGCACACTCTGCCGTCGAACCTGGCTGCAGCGGGGGCGCCGCGCAGGCCGCCAGCGCTCTCGCTCGCGCCGTCGTCGGCGCCCGCGTCATCGTTGTCGCGGCTGCTCTGGAGGCGGTCGCCCTGCAGGGCCGCCCAAGGGCCTCTATCCGCGCGCGCTGCGGCCACCAGAGGTCGGCACCCGGCCGCGGGCGCAGGAACGGTCGCGGCCTCCGGCAGCTCGGGCGCACCCGCGCCCTCGCGGGCCGCCTCGGACAAACGCGGGAGCGCGAGGAGCTCAATTTCGTGAGACGCTTGCGGCGCGCAGAGTTCAGCACGTCTGCCACGTCCTGCCCCCCGTCGATGCCCCGCGCCGGGACCGGCTGGAAGTGCGCTCGGACCGTCGAGGGAGGCGCGCCTGGGCGCTCCACGCCCTCGCCCGCCTCGGCGCCTTCATCCCCACCAGCGCTTCCACCGGTGGTCGCCCTGAGGCGCGCGATGTGCACGGATGCGTCCTTCTGGCATTGCCGAGGTTTTTTCTGCTGCGCCCGATTCGGCTGACGATGCGTTACCGCCGCCAGCCCAGACGCAGGGGTTTTCCCTGCGCCCGATTCGGCTGACGATGGGTCACCACCGCCAGCCCAGAGACAAAAGTTTCTCCCTGCCCTCGACTCGGCCGAGGATGGGTTACCATCCCTGGCCCGGACGCAAGGGTTTCCCCTCTGCGCCCGGCCGCCATCGTGCTCCTCATTTCGTGCTCCTCCCATTACTCCTCCTCTGATGAGTCGAGCGAATGGGCTAAAGAGCCCAAAACACCCCGCTCGGATTCTTCTGCGTCCCAGTGGGTCCGATGACCCGGTCGGCTTCCCATGACCCATAGACCCCCCCCTCCCAATATCCCCCCCACCTTGGAGCCGGCGCCAGCGGCGGCCAGGAGCGCCGGCAGACGCAGCGACGATGACCAGAGAAAGCCAAAGGGGGAGAGGGGGGGGCGGCCCAAACTCCCCCCCCCCCGCCTCTGGCGCTGGCGGCGGCCAGCAGCGCCGACGGCGGGAACGCAGCGACGATGACCAATGAGGGCCCAGAGGACGCACAGGGGAAACACAAATCGCCATATCCACCACCACCACCACCACAACAAACAACCACCATCACCATCACAGCCCAACACCACCACCACCACCACCACCACCACAACCACCACTACAACCCACCACCACCACAACCACCACCATAACAACTCACTAGACCACCACCACCACCACCACCACCAAAAACGCCACCACAACCACCACAACCACAACCCACCACAACCCGCCACAGCCACCACGACCAACACCACCACCACAAACCACCACGACCACCGCCACAACCACCACCACCACCACCACCACCACCACCTCCACATCCCTCACCACCACAACCACCACCACAGCCACCACCACCACCACCACCACAAACCACCACAAACCACCACCGCCACGGGCCCCCGCTGGGGGCAACCGCCTGCGCCAGCTCCCGGAGCGAGCCCACGCCCAGCGCCCTCAGCGCCGCGGCGCCCAGCTGGCCGCCAGGCAGCAGGCCGGCGCAGGCCTGGAGCGCCGCCGTCGCGCGCGCGGGCCAGAGGGCGCCAGTCCCAGAGAACGCCAGCGATGGCGATGACGGCGGCGGCGGCGGCGGCACAACGACGACGACGACGACGACGACGACGACGACGACGACGACGACGACGACGACGACGACGGCAGCGACGGCGACGGCGACGGTGACGACGGCGGCGGCTCGCCTCCCTTCTCCTCCCCCTTCCTCCCTCCTGCTCCTGGCACCACTCTGTTCCGCTGGCTCGACCGCCTCCTTTCCCCCTCCGTCTCGTGCTCCGTGGGGATGGCTGGCGACGTGGCCGAATCCAAGACGAGACCTGCATCGCACGACTGCGAAAGAAGACGACGATGATGACGAGGACAGGGACGAGGACACCTGCAGTCCTCCTCCGTCCTATGCATTCCCTCCACCTCCACATCCGCGTTCCTCCTTCATCCCCTGCTCTTTCTCCTTACCCTCTTCCTCCGTCCTCTGTCTGTCGTTTTGCACCGCACGGACCTGGAAGAGCAATCCTCGCAGCGTCATCCAAGATTTCTTTTCACAAAAAAAAAAAAAAAAAAATGAAGGCTGGCCCCGGCGCCAACGCCTGCGACGAACGCATCGGCGCAGAGCAGTAGAGAACAGCAGGAGGGCAACGAGAATGAGAAGCTACGATCAGCCCGCAAGGGCACGGACTAACTGAGCACGCCGAAATCGGATAGACAAGACAAGACAAGAGCCCGCGTCGAGGCACCTACGAGGGTGCGGCGGGAGGGCGCCGGGGCGCCGCTCAGAAGCCGGGGTCGGGAAATGGCAGCTGGGTCGGAAAGATGGGCGTGGGTGACGGAGCCGCAGGCGGAGAAGAAGAACCACACGTACTGCCACAGTCGAATACATTTGACCAGCCGGAATCGGATAAAGGGAGGAAACTCAACATCAAACCATGACCTGAACCGAAAGGGAGGAGGTACGGGCGATCTACTGGACGGCAGCTGCGGGGTTGTGTCGGGTGATGCTGCTGGGTCAGTTGGTCACTTGGCTGCTGTGCGCGTCCGCTCGCTTACCGTGAAAACTGGTAGAGCTGGTAGGTCGTTTGCTGCTGGTAGTTGGCGCCTTTTCCATTGTTGTTGTGCTGCTTGTCCTTACACTCACCTCTACCCTTGGAAAAGGGATATGGCCGTCGTGCTCAGTGGGAGTAATTGTGTCTGTCGAAGGTCGCGGTTGCTGCTGAGCGCTGTGACGTTGCTGGTGTTGCGTTGTCTTTGCCGTGTACGAGCCAATGCTATGCAAGCACTTTGAGATGTCGTCGTGCCACCGTTTTCCCTAGTAGGGTTTCGCAAGGGTTTCGCCTGAGATGTCCTAACTATCTACTCTGGAATCGTGCTATCGTCTCAGATGCTGGCTACATGTTTGGTCTAGACAGCCACGATCCCTTGCAAATGTTAGCCAGCGTGGACCCAAAACAGTGTGCTTCTAGCAGAATATGTGGTGCAATCTAGCTGGAACCTTCTATGTGGTGCAATCCACTTTGACCGTCTTGAAGCTGTCCTCTCCACTGCTCGTGCAAACATCCCACCCTCCCACCCGCAACTTGGTCGCAAGACCTCTTAAGACAAGACCGTGACGGTAGGTACCAGATGGCACTTGGCCACGACACCGACGCCGACGACGACAGCGACAACGACGACGACGGCGCCGCCGACACCGACGACGACGACGACACCGACGACGTCTTCAACGACTTCGATGACGACAGCGACCACGACGACAACGACACCGACGACGACGACGACGCCGACGACGACGACGATGACAACGACGACGACGACGCCGACGACGCCGACGCCGACGACAAAGACGACGAAGACAACGACGACGACGACAACGACGTCGCCAACGAAGACGACGACGAGGGAGGAGGAAGGACGACGACGGCGACAACGACGACAACGACGACAACGACGAGGGAGGAGGAAGGACGGCGACGACGCGACGACAACGACGAGGGAGAAAGGAAGACGACGACGACGACAACGACGACGACGACGACGACGACGACGAAATAGGAGGGACGACGACGAGACGCCGACGACGGACGACGACGACGACGAGGGAGGAGGAGGAAGGACGACCACGGCGACAACGACGACGGAAACGACCACGACGCCAACGAGGAGGACGACGACGACGAACACGAGGAAAGACAGAGGACGACGTAGGCGACGACGACGACGACGACGCGGGAGGAGGGAGGACGGCGACGACGACGACGACGCAAGAGCGCGCGCGCACGCTTTTGTTGAAAATCCGTGTTGCGAATCCTTGGGTTTTTGTAGGTTTTTTGGACACACGATTTTGAAATCCTTCCGAAACCGATGGGTTTTGAAGCATTTCGGCATACGCGCGCGACGACGCGCGCGTCTGCACTTCGTCCCATTTTTTGCAGAGGATTCTCGCGACGGCACACGCGCAAGGGCGTTCGACAGATTTCGACATGCGCGCGCGACGCCCGTTTGGTAGCATGTTGTGAAAATCTTGGGCACAATGGTTTTATTAAGATTTCGCAAGAGCTCGCGCGTAAGCTTTTTTAGCAAATCAGTGTTTACGAAACCCTGTGCTTTTGTGTGTTTTGGAAACTCGATTGCGACATCCTTCCGGCACCGAAGGTGTTTGAAGGATTTCGGCATGCGCGCGCGACGACGCGCGCGTGTGCACTTCGTCCCATTGTTTGCAAGGGATTCGTGAAAAAGTGCTATGTTAGAACAAAAAATGTCACCGCATAGTGTTTTTTACAAGGGAATCTCAGGGGGGGGGACCCGGCCCCCCGGGGACAGTGTAAATTCATATTCAGGATGGACATGTGGTCAGAATCATATATGACTTACATACCCGAAAGGAGGGCCGATAACGCCAGGGGGGGTAGAGTCTATTCTCTTTTTAGAAGGAGAATGTACGTGTAACTTACGGTGTGCAATACATGTTGTGCAATATATGACAGTGAGGTGTTGCAAAATATGCAATGATATCTAGACGGTGCAGCCAATGAGATGCAATGTAGGTGGTGCAATCCACGTGGTGCAATCGATGACGTTCGTAGCAATGCAAACCAATGCAAAGCAGTGCAAAGCAATGCAAAGCAATGCAAACAAGAGCAATGCAACGCAATGCAACGCAATACAACGCAACACAATGAAAAACAACACAATGCAAAACAATGCAAAGCAACGCAAAGCAGTGCCACGCACTGCAATGCAACGCAATGCAGTGCAATGCAAAGCAACGCAAAGCAATGCAAATGAATGCAAAGCAGCGCATAGCAATGCAAAGCGATGTCATGCAACGCAACGCAACGCAAAGCAAAGCAAACTGATGCACAACAAATCAGAACAACGCAACGCAGTGCAGTACAAAGCAATACAATGCCAGGCAAAGCGAAGCAATACAAAGCCATGCGAGACAGAGCAAGGCAAGGCAATGCAAAGCAACGCCAAGCAGTGCAGAGCAGTGCAGACGAATCAGTGCAGAGCACTGAAAAGCAAGACAAACCACGACGGGCGGAGACGAGGCGGCGACGGGGCGGCGACGGGGCGGCGACGGCGAGCACGGAGCCGCCAGACCGACACGCAGGCCCAGTGCGTTAGAAACGACATAGAACAAACCCTAAGTGCAAACACCGTTTGGGAAACGACACCAACACGCAAAAGGAGTCCCGCAGGGGGGGGGGCGTCTGGTCCTGCAGCCGTTTCGCCTGCGGCTCCCTCACAACTTCGTCAGGGATCCCGCTCGCCCCTCAGTGCTGGCGACATGTGTGGCCCGGACGGCCACGATCCTTTGTAAAAAGAACGTAAAAAGAACGGAAGCAAGGTGCACAGAGGGCCAAGCAGAATCCCACAAGGGGGGGGGACGGGGAGTCAGAGGACGCCTCATCCTGCAGCTGTTTCGCTGGAGACGACGGCCGACGCCGACGACGACAGCGACAACGACGACGACGGCGCCGCCGACACCGACGACGACGACACCGACGACGTCTCCAACGACTTCGACGACAGCGACCACGACGACAACGACACCGACGACGACGACGCCGACGACGACGACGATGACAACGACGACGACGACGAGGAGGCAGAGGACGCTTCGTCCTGCAGCTGCTTCGCCAGAGACGTCCTCAAAACGTGTGCAAACCTCGTGCTCCCTCGCCTCCACTGGCCGGCTGCACGTGTGGTCTGGGCGGCCACGACCCCTCGTAAGCTCAGCCTGGCGAAGGACCCAGCCATATGCAGCTGTGGGCAGCGCAGTTGTGAGCGTTGTGCTCGATGGACCTCCTTATCCCTGCAGTCGGACCTGATTGGACAGGACACGCGATAGAGCACAAGACCGGTCCGAGGGCCACATTGCCACAGGAATGCAAGAGGCACGGGTCGCGAGACACAGGACACAAGAGTACCCTTGATTTGGCAGGGTCGACCTACTAATCCGAGCCGACTGTATGGGGCCACGAGACGTGTGAGGGGTGTGCCGACACGGGCGCGGCGGGCCCATGCGAACACAGCCACTGGAACCTTCGGTGGAGCTCCCTATGGGGCCACGAAGCGCGTGAGGGATGTGCCATGCGAGGGGAAACGCATGCGGACCCTGCCACTGGGGCCTTCGGTGGAGCTCCCTGTGGGGCCACGAACAGTGTGAAGGGTGTGCCGACATGGGACGCATGCGGACCCTGCCACTAGGGCATTCGGTGGAGCTCCCTATGGGGCCACGCAGCGTGTGAAGGTCTGCTCAAATGCACGGGGGGACGCATGCGGACCCTGCCACTGGGGCCTTCTGTGAGGTTCCTTGTGGTTGTGGGGCCACGAACTATGTGAGGGGTGTGCCGACATGGGCGGGGGACGCATGCGGACCCTGCCACTGAGACCTTCGGTGGAGCGCCATATAGGGCCGCGAACCGTGAGGGGTGTGCCGAGATGGGCGGGGGGGGCGCATGAGGACCCTGCCACTGGGGCCTTCGGTGGAGCTCCTTATGGGGCCACGAACCGTGTCAGGGGCGTGCCGAAATGGTGCACATGCGGAGAGCAGAGGCACGATGCTGACGATGGCGATGTGATGATGTGGATGATGGCGATGGCGACGATGATGACGACGGTGACGACGATGAGAATGACGATGACGATAAGGACGCAGAATGGGATGAGGGAGGGGGCAGCGGGAGGAAGGAAGGATTGGACGAGGGGCGCTGTCTCCCCAAACCGATGATCCAACACTACAGGATGATTAGGACAAAGACTAGACTAACGTGCACATGGCCGTGCTATCAATCATGTCCTCTATACAGTGGCCGACCTCCTACTCCTCGACCCGTCCCTTCACCCTTGCTTCTATTAGGGCGCTTTACTGCGGCAAGTGTTGTCCACCGTGGCATCTGAAACCCTGTTGCTTGGTACACTGGTTTGGGTTGCACCTCAACTCTTCGTGTCCTACGGTCCGTCGGGTGCCGAGCTACATGGGAAGCCAATCCCCGTAGCATCTGGCAGTGCTCGTGCACAATGTCTAGAACACCACGTGGCCGCATCAACCCCGTTGCCCTGGAAGTGCATCTGCAAAAGAAGTCGGAGCATTGATATGCTTCGTGCTGAGTCTGTCGGCTGCCTTACGATTACATAGCATCGCCGTCGCTGCCGTCGTAAGCACTTGCGTGCTCAGATGAGGCATACGGGTTGCTACACGCGTCGCAAAGGCTGGAAACGTCAGATGATTGATCGCGGGATGGGTTGCTGATCGTGGTGCTCGCGTCCGCAAGGTCGTTTGACAGCCGTGCTACTGCAGTGCGCCTTTGCGGCGCGCCGGTACTATGATGATCAAGCGCCTCTTGTGTTCGGCGCAACTGTTGTTTGAAGCGGTCCGTCATTGCCCAAGTCCAGGCACCGTAAAGCACAGCTGAAGTCATGGTGCCCTGGTAGAGCCTCCGCTTGAGTTCTGGTGCTCAATGTCTGCTCGTGAGCGCACCTGCCGGATATGAAAACGGCGCCCAGCCAGCTGGAATGCGCCACGAAAGCTGTCGCCACCGCGCGCCCTGGCGGCCGCGCCCCCGCGCTCCGCGCGCGGCGCGGGGCACGAGGCCCGCCGCCTCCGCCTTCGGCGCGTCGTTTGACTCGTCGTCGTCGTCGTCGTCGTCGTCGTCGTCGTCGTCGTCGTCGTCGTCGTCGTCGTCGTCGTGGTGAAAGTGCGCGCAGATGGCTCTGCTTTGGGGGCGAGGCCTCCGCGCCCATGCCCGAAGCCGTGGTCGGGCCCTCCCGCCTCCGGAGGCCCCGGGCGGCCTCCCGAGGCCTCCGGGAGCTAAAGAAGCTGCCGCAACAAACGCTTCGGGAGGCCTCCGCGTGCGCGAGGCGCGGGCGGGCGCGCGCGCGCGCGTGCGCGCGTCCGCGGGCGCGCGCGCGGAGGGGCGCGGGGAGTCCAGAGGAAGAAGGGCGCCGTCGCGAATCGCGGAGCAGGGAGTCCAGAGGAAGAAGGGAGTCCAGAGGAAGAAGGAGCAGGGAGTCCAGAGGAACAAGGGAGAGGGAGCAGGGAGTCCAGAGGAGTAAGGGAATGAGGAAGAAGGGGGAGTAGGGAGCCCAGAGGAGCAGTACAACCAGAGCGTGGATCCTGGACGCGTGGCAGGGACGCAGGGCCCTTGGAGGCCGAGGTCGGGCGGCAGGCGGCCCACGAAAGCGGCAGAGGACGGGCCGCGGAGGCAAGGACGCAAGGGTTCCCTAGATGAGGGCGCGCGTCCTTCCTGGGCGCATTGACTGTATGGAGTCCAGAGGACGAGTAGGAGGAGAGAAACGATGATGAAGAGCGCGGGGAAGGAGGAGCCAAGGCATTTTCCCCGAACCGCCCCCGATCTTACCTGCCTCGACACGCAACACACACTACGTAGCGCATTGATGCGGAACTCAACACGTAGACTGAAAATGTAGGTTCGACGCGACACATTCGCCAAAAAATGGAGCAAATACGCTGAGCCACACGCAACTTATTGACACAGACGCTTTCAGCACGGTACGTGATGCGTTTCAAAACGGGCGTCTCGAGGCAGCTAAGCCTCGGATGCATCGACATGTACCTTCAAGACTCGCCAGCAACAGCATTCGAGTGCCTGTGCGACGACGCCGACGAGCCCGCCTGCTCGACGTCGGGCTTCAGGGCGCCCAGGTTGCGGCAGCCGCCAGCCTCCGACGGCGCCCCCTTCCCCTACCCCCGCGGCTCCGCGCGCGGGCGCTCCCGGACGGCGGCGGCGTAGACGAGGGCCGCAAGGCCAACGAGGGCGACAACGGCGAGGATGGGGATGGCGGCGGCGACGAGGACGAGGAAGCGCCGCCCCTCCTCCCCCTCCTCCCCCTCCTCCTCCCCCTCCTCCCCCTCCCCCTCCTCCTCCTCCTCCTCCTCCTCCTC